CGCGCCGCCTGCGACTTCCGCGAGGACGACTCGGTCCACGCCTATCACCGCGCCAGCAACGCGGACTATCGGGGCAGCGGCTTCGACCGGGGCCACCCGGCGGCCGCGGCCAACCACAAGTGGAGCCAGAAGGCCATGGGGGACACCTTCTACTTGAGCAACATCGCCCCCCAGGTAAGCGAGGGCTGGGAGCGGATGGATGACCTCTCATCCCCCGGGCGGACTTTGCTACGGAGGAGCCCCTCGCCTGATTTACCGGGGCTTCTGCTGTTTCCAAGCCCCCTGCGAAGAACGACCTTAAACCTGATCTTTGTGTTAAAATGGTCTACTTCACCTGACAGTCCCTCATAAAGATTTCCAGTGGGTCTCCTTTCCTTGTGTGACTGTATCCAAGGCCAGCGGTTCTCAAAGTGTGGTCTGAGGACCCCTGGGAGTCCCCGAGACCCTTTCAGGAGGTCCGCGGACCACAATAAATAGATATTTTTAAATTTCTCCGTTTTAATTTCTAGTACAGTAAATATGGATAGATACAACCCGCCTAAAGCAAAGTTCTTTGGGGTCCTCAATCGTTTTTAAGAATGTCAAGGGGTGCTAAGACCAAAATGTTTGAGAACCGCTGGCCTAGATTATGGAAATGTCTAGTACAGTGTTTCTTAACCCTGGCAACTTTAAGCTGTGTGGACTCCAACTCCCAGAATTCCCCAACTAGGCATGCTGGCTGGGGAATTCTGGGAGTTGGGGTCCACACAGCTTAAAGTTGCCAAGGTTGAGAAACACTGGTCTAGTAATGTCTTGGTTGGCATCTGTTTCCGTAGAGCAAAAACACTCTGCATGTGCTCAAAAGACCCTAAGGAGAGTACATTTGCAAAGCCTCCATTCTAAGCATGCACCATCTGCAGAAATTTTAGGAATGGGAAATCCTGTGTTCCCAGAAGTTGTTGGATACTTTAAAAAAGTTTTTTGTCTTTTTAAGATTTTAAAAAATTACTACTTTGTAAAAAAAATTTTTTTTGGAGTTTTCCAACACCCTTCCCACCAGTGAAATAG